CCTTCTGAGTTATTTTACTTAGAAATTTAAGAAGAGACCGGTAAGTCATATGACCGCCTTTATGGGTCGAACAGTTACAATATGGTGGTTCCGCACACCTGTTTGAAAAGAGCTTAGGAACTAATTATGAAGACGTCTGCCGTGTTACAAAAGGTCTACATATCGAACATCTGTGCATGCCCATAGAAATACGAAGAGTTACATGTTCATGTTATACCTGCATTTGCGAAATAAATTCCTTATAGTAGGGACAGGTATGTTTCCTTTCTGTAACATTAGTTTTGATTTGCCATGTATTTGAAAAACAGCTCGAAATTAAACAGCTAGATTGAAGAGTTCGGCTGGTAGACAGCTGGAATAAGTACTCGACGAAGCATTTGTATAGCCCGGCATGAACTACTAGACTTATTAGCAATAGATTATGTATGTCCTGAATTATCGCAACGATTCAAGAGGTGGTTTCGAGAATTTTCAACGATGCGCATGAATTTTGTTATCTACTATGTCCAAAATTATCGGGCAGTTCGAGAGATAGTTTCAAGAATTTTCAATGATGCGCATAAACTACGTTATCTATATCCAAAATTATCGGGATGATTCGAGAGATATTTTCGAGAATTTTCATTGATGCGCATGAGCTTCGTTACCCATGTCTAAAGTTATCGGGATGATTCGAGAGATAGTTTCGAGTATTTTCAATGATGCGCATTGCTAAAACATTCTGGCTACGCTGAAATATTGTATCTGTCAGGGCAGTCATGAGATATACTGATTATTCAAGCACCACTAACATTGCAATCACTTTTTTTTTTTTTTTTTTCTGGGAGGGGGAGGGGTAAATTTTTCCATTCTGAGCATTAGTAAAAGTAGTTAGTCCAAAGTTCTGGGGAAAAATGTTTAACGATTTCTTAGGTTAGGATCCAAAGATTCGAATGATCTCAGTATGCTGGGCCTTATGTTAATTGTGTGGAAAAACAAAGTTACTATTCAAGTAAAAGTTTAAATAAGTTAATAGCCTATTTTTAAATAAATTTTCTTTCTCGAATAACAGTTTCTCTGCAATGCGCGTTGACGTGTATCATTTAATTTATCCTTTCTAAAAACCTGCTTATGAGTTAAAAAAAAAAAAAAAAAAAAAGTTCTCCGTACCCTGCTCTGAAGCACCGGCGATCCCTACGTGGTGACGAAAACATTGGGTCATTTACCATTGAGTTCTATGGGATTTGACGCGTTTGGGTGTAAATATTTTGTAATTACGTCGCAAATATACATATAAATGTATATATTTTGTTTTTCTACAACACTTCAGAGTCCTAAGTATGTGAAAACAACATATTTTTAAACATTTCATTCTGAACGGAATTAAATGCTATACTTTTCACAGGGCAGTTTTCTCAGAATGGTTTAATTTGAATGAAATATTTTCACAAGTTTTCGTTAATTACATTAGAAAATAAATAAATAAAAAAAATCTGAAATTTTTCAGATTTTAAATTACGTCCAAAGGGGCGTTTTTTTTTTAAACATTTGAGTGTACCTTATTTATTAAATATCATGTAATTTGCACTTAAACCATAAAATTTCAGTTCAAAAGAGCAATATCGCAATATAAGTTTTAAACTAAGCCATATCTTTAGAATTTCCGATACGCAAGTCTTCCGCGAGCTGGAGATAAAAAGTATGGTTTTTTCTGTACAACGTTGCCATTTGCTCGCTTTAAAATCATTGAGTTTTGTTAAATCACAAATTTGTTAAAGTTTTACAAAATAGAAATCGATCATAAAAGAAATTCCAAATTTCAAATTTGGGCTTCCAGATGCCCATATTCGCAGTAGAATTACGCCATTCGAAATTCGATGTCTCTATGTACCATTGTTTTATCACAATGCGATAAATATGCACAACATTTATGCAGATTTTTTCATTATTTGATTTCATCAAATATAACGCAGGACTCTAATATTTGGTGGAAACGGTTTGAAAAGTGAAACGGACCAACCAACGCAAAAATAATGAACCAACGCAAAATCGCAAAACGAAAACTGTAGTTCTTCAGGGACAAAGCCCCTTTGGATTAAAAAAAGAAAAAAAAACACCACCCACTCAGTTTTTTTTTTTTTTTTTTTTTTTTTAAATAATGATTTGTAATTTACTCAAATAAAACTTTTTATGTAATTGTAGACCAATGAATATGCTTCCGATTCATTTTACTTCTGCTAGAATAAAACAACAATAATTACAAACGGAGAGGCATAAAGCGAATCGGAAGAAAATATTTCGTTTCTCTAGCTGAAGAAAAAACGCTTAGTTGCTCAGTACAAAGTGTTAGAAATTTTTATTTTCTTGGGACTTCACTTTTCTGAACACGGATCAGTAGATATAAGATGTATTTATTCATATTTATATGTAATCCCGTTAATCACATATTCATTAATTTACTTTACAAGTCTCTTTATATTCAAAACCTGTCTCATTATTTTGAAACGATATAAATTTGGACTTGCGGCTCTCGAACGCTCATAAAACCTATCATGCGGCTCCCACCGTCTTGAAGTTTGACCATCCCTGATATAATATATAAACATCAACAATAAAATGTTTATAACAACTATATTTTATTAGTAGTTTCTACAAATATTTACATCATTTATGCAATTAATTAAAATTATTTGAAACCAAATTGGAATTTGCATTAGTAAATTACAGCAAAGAATAATGATTCCACTGTTCTGAATAATATTGAAATAATTTGAAGTTTGATCTGATAATCTCTTAGGATGGCTTTGCAGTTGGAAAAATGAAAATATAACTCACAATATTTTGATAAAGTGTTCTTTCCTTTATAACTGCCGAATATCATTTTGCCACACACTTGATGAAACAGTGAATTAGTATTTCATCCAGACGATAATATTAAGCATTGATTAACATTTCCCATGACTACTCTTTAATTAAGGCTTCCTATCCACAACCCTTTTAATTCTGACAGCATATAACAGTGCAATTTATACGCAAAATGCTATTGATTAAAAGTTAATAATATAACAACCAAGTTATTGACAAAAGTAATATTCAAATAACAAAATGATAAAAACTAAAAAAAAAAAAAAAAAAAAAAAAAAAAAAAAAAAAAAAATGAAAACACAATCAAATAATAAAATGCATCTAACTAAGCAAAATCCGATTCTAAATATTACTACTCAAAATATTATCGTCATGCAATTATCATATTTGTAATAAAATTTTAAAGAGATAACTGGTATAACATTTCGTCACATAACTCTCAACATCAATAGGTATTTCTAGCCTAAAATCACAAAGAATGTCCATCCTCACACATATTTGTGAAACAATGTCAGGTATTTTGTCGTCTCTTACCGCATGCTTTCGTAATGTAATTAAAACACGTCCGTCTGGCAAGCAGGCGATCCGGAGTTCGAATTCCGGTGAGGGCACTGCTGTATTTTCAGGTTTTCTCCTCTGAAATAAAACTAATGACTCTAAAAATAAACCCCATTAAAAGACTCTTAAAGTGGCATGTGCTATGTGTTTGTGAACAAGAGCTCTTTGTAAACCGTTATTACTTTATTACTGTTTAAAGCTACCTATTCCCAACTTTTAGTTGCTCTATCCTCCAACACTCTAATTTAATGTGAAATTTAATCAACTTAAATTTTGATTTCAGGGTTAAAAAATTAAATCCTCTTAAGTTTTATTCTTAGTTTTCCTGGAACCTTGTTTACGTCTGCATTTTAGGGATAAATATGTCAAATGGGAAGTCTTTCTTTTGGAAGTATGAAATTTTTAGACTGCGGGGTGAATTCAAAGGCCCTTATATAGTCCACATTTGTTAATCCTTAGCCAAAGTTGTTCAGTTTTTAATGTGTGTAATTTACAATTTTATTACTCAGGAAAAATGTAGGCTGCATTAATAAATTTCGCAGGCTCTATTCGGCACAAGAATAACAGGTTGCCTATGAATGATAAAAAGCTAAGCTGCCTATAAAATGGCCTGCAAGATGGATGCGGCCTTCCAGTCGTACCTTGTGTATAGCGAAGCTTTCTATGACTCAATTTCATTTTATTTTTGAACGTTTAAAAGTTAAAGTTTTCAACCAAAGCAGTCTGCTATAAGTTGAAATATTTTGGTGCTATTTAAGGGAAAATGATCTGACATATTTTTCCATATTGCAATCGCTTGGCCGAGAAGTCCAAAGAAGAAACACTGCAGTTAATATCATAGAAAAATTTAATTCAATATTTGCAGGATTATCACTTATAAATAATAATACTGAATATTTTAAAATTCATTCAGAGCTGGGATAAAAGAACATTCATCCAAAGTAGAGATGGAATCCGTGATATTCAAGATAGTTCATTTCTTCAAATAAGGATAGAAAATGGATGAGACTTCTTTATACTTTTTAAGGTGAACATTGTCCTAACATGTATATTAAGCTGGAATATGACGTTAATGTTTGGAAATACTTACTTGTGTGATTCTCCAGTCTGAAGTTTATCAAGAATCACTAAAGAAGCTACCTCATGGATAGTTCTTTACTTCATCTGAAATTCACAGCAACAGAAATCGATGATTTTAGACATATTTTTTGTAAAATACATATTTATTTACTTTCCTGTAATAATAATGTTTAGTAACCAATAAAGGAAATTACTTAAATTTCGCTACGAAAATATCCCATATTTCGCTGTTGTGGGCCTTCACTTGGTAAATGGTCTTTAGGCTTATCATAACTAGACACTCTTAATATAGTAAAATAATGCAGAATACCTGAATAATTAAATTGTCATATGATTTAAACATTAGAAACTTCCCTAAAAGCTATAAAACTCCAATTCTTCGATATTATCTTAAAATGTAGAAATTACTATATACACGTAGCCTTAATATTTAAAATTATTAGTATTTTACATACCAAGTCTAGATTTAGGAAGATTAGATGCAACACAAATTATATACGTGATAAAAACTTCATGTGAAAGAAATCAGAAATTTCTCTTTAATTGATCGAAACACAATAACAACTATTAATATCAGCAAAAACATCTATTAAATGCCCTTTCGTTTTCTGTGTGATTGATAACTTCTGGCAATGTGTTAAATAAATTATCATCCTTCTCTTTTGCTAACGCCATCTTCGCTAACGCATGAAATGCTTCTTCAACATTTGTTCCATCCCGAGCGCTTGTTTCAAAACAAGGTACTTCATAGTCGCAGGACAATAAATCTTGAATTTTATCTTGACAGCAGATTCTGTTTCCTAAGTCAACTTTATTTCCAAGCACGACGAAGGGGAAATTTCGTGGGTCTCTTGGGGAACCATGTATAAGAAATTCGTCTTTCCAGATTTCAATAGAATGATATGATGCTGGCGAAGTTACATCATAAACTAAAATTACACAGTCAGCTCCTCTGTAGAATGCAACACCAAGTGACTGGAACTTTTCTTGCCCAACTGTATCCCAAATCTGCAAGGTAACGACTTTATCATCGACAGTAATGTCTCTTGTAAGGAAATCAGCTCCGATAGTTGCTTTGTACGCACAATTAAATTTTTTGTTTACGAATCGATTCATCAAGGAAGTTTTTCCCACACCGCTGTCCCCAAGTATTATGACTTTTAAAAGTGGTCTCTTACCACTTTCCGCATTCGACTGCATTTTTCTTTAAATTGAAAATTTTTTCTTTTGAAATAATTCAATTTTTTGACAAAATAGAAACCACCGAGCAATTAAATTTGTAGCATGAACATCGATCGTCTTTCAAAATCATTAGTTACTTTTAAAATACAAGAAATAAGTTGAGTTGAACTAGAGATACTGCCGTAGATATTATTAAGAAATTATTTTATTAAAAACTAGCTTTATTAGTTAAATAATAAAAAACACCCCTCCAGGTACAGCTAAATTTATTTTAAAATATTACTTATTTATTTTATTGACACGATTATATCGAATAATGAATTAATTAGTTTACAAAATCCTTAAAGTACTGGTATTAATATAATAACGTTATTATTTCTGTATTGTGCATCTAAATGGCAACACCAGAAAAATTAGAAGATACCTAAATTAAAAAGCAAACGCAGATTTAGTCTTATGAGTAGCATCCAGAATTGCTGAGGCATATGAAAGAGGTCAAGGTATATTCCCCAAAAGAAATCTATAAAGATATATTAAAAAATTTCACAAGATAATTGTACTTATGTCATCAATAAAAACGGGATGAAAGCAAAATTGAACTACCTAGAAATATTATATAGTCTTTTATTAATATAATGTCATTTGTTTGGGATAGAAATGAACATATTCTGAACACTACGAAGGAAAATTTTAACATCCTTCTTTAAGTAAAACATTCTGTAATTCCTGAAACAGATAATGCAAGTTATGTCATCTGTAACATTAACAGAAACTTAAAAAGAAAAGAAGAAAAAAAAAAAAAAAAAGTTACTGGACCATGTTATCCATAAGGTTCTTACACCGTCTTCGTGCCCTTCGAAGTATGCTCAGGCGTATTAGCATTTTGAACAGGATCATTGACGACTTGGAAACTTCTATTATTCCTCATGAATAAAGTTTATACAGTGCGGGGGAAAAAAAGGAGGGGGGACAGTTCTATTTCTCCCGTTCTACTGGGCCGATTGACGAAATTCAAAATTCAAATTGCATTCTTCAAGTCTCGAAAGCGCGACTTAGGATATATATTAGATTTATATATAGCACTATTATAACATAGGTATTTTGACACAAAATCGGACGTTTTCTGAAATAACATGCCAATGTTTTTACATATTTCGATTCTACGACTCAAATTATGCCCAGATATGATATTTTGTAAAATTTGGTGCGAAATTTACGGAGAAATTCACAAATTTATGTTGGCCCTTTTTTTTTCAGTTGCGCCAAGAAGAGTTCACTGCGAATTTTTAATATTGGCAACCTATTTTCTTTTCCTTGAGGAAAAAAAATCACAAGTTTTTTTCTTTCAAATAATTTTTTTAATATTTTTAATTATTTTAAATTTTTTTTTTTTTCTTTTTCGAATTTCATTTTAATTGTTTAAGTTGCATGGTTTCTTTCAAATAACTGTTTAAAAATTTCTATTTACCATTCGAACCGGTAGTTAAATAAGGGTGCATTTATTCTTTTTTTTTTTCAAATTTTTTTTAAATTTTTTTTTGTCACAGTTTTATTTTAGGTAATTTTTAATTTTTAACTTATTTTAATTGCTTGTGTGCATTGTGTCTTCATTTACTATTTTTTCTTCGAACTGAGCATTTTAAATATATTATTCAATAAAAATTTCCAGGGTTTTATTTTACTTATTGATTGCATTTCTTCGAAGAATATAGACTACGATGCACTGAAAAAATGAATATATTGAAAGCGAAAATACAGTAAAGTACAGTTAACAGCCTTCAATGTTCCGTCAGAAAAGATATATAAATGAGAAAGAGTTAACGATTTAACTTAGGATGACTTGCATATATTGCTTTAAATAGTTTAACTATGCTCTTGCTTTACACAATTTTATCATCCTATTTAGTTTCCTAAATGTTATTATATTTTAGTCAAATATTTATTTTTGAATGCAAGAATCAAATATAATGATGAAAAAGATTAAAGTAAAAAAAAAAAAAAAAAATCTAAATTTACAAAAATTTATTTTTTTTTATTGCTCTTGTTCTTCAGGCTTCGCAAGTATATTAAAAGCATCTAACGTTTTTAACATCTTGGCATTTCGACTTCATGTTAATAAATTCATCGCCTTCCATTCCTAAAGCACAACGGCCAGCGGTACAGTCGCTGAACACTGTAGTTCGCTCGGGGTTCGAAACGGTCTGGTTGCATGGGCGTTTTCGTGGTTTTCTCATTGTGACGTGTTGCCAGTGGTTTCCCTTAAAATTTCTCCGAGGCCTTTTCGCATATAGCCATGCTGGCCGTAACTTAATAATCCAATCATCCATTTCATCAGTACTTGTCTGAGCTTTATCGTCTTTAGAGCAAGATTTTAAGGCAGAATGAAGAAAGATGTTTTCATCAAGAGGGAAAACGTCTTTAGGTGACATCCACATACATCATTACATAAATCCATGAATATACAAATAATTCCATGGGATTTTTCGTTTATGATTACATGATGTTCTATAACGTAATTTAAATTTATACAAACATATAGTCGAAAACCAGTCGCTCTTCACTTTAATCTGCAATGATATAATTTTTGTCTTTTCTGTTATCACAAGCTCAATTAATGGTATTTGCTAGTGTACACGTCCAAGTGTTTTCTCTTTGAACCCCCAAATTCCTTGAAGTATTATGAAAGTATATTCAAAAGCATCCAACTTTTCGAAACACCTTGGTATTTCTGACAGCCAAAATCCCCTTCAAATTTTTGCTTCCTTTTCTCTCTACATTTATTTTCAGTGCTCACCCCAACAAGAAAATTAAGGTTTTTCGATTGTTACACTTCATAAATTTTGCATTCTTGTCAATTTCTTTAAAATATCAATTACATCAACTGCGTTTCAGAAGCATTTTAATTATAAATAAAGTTTTAAAGCAAAGTCCAAAGGATAAATATTTGAATTAAAAGATTTTTTTTTAAATGAGAAAGAAATAAACCACTCCAGCAGCGCTTATCCTGTACCACGGAGTGGCACAATTTTTATATCGGGTGCAAACAATCTAAATCGTATTATTTAGAGTTTTTAAGTCTAATAATTTCTATATTAAAGGACATGTTTTTTATATAATCTACAACACAAGAGAAAATTACGAATTAAAACATTCTTTAAGAGGATTTATGTGAAAAATTTATATTTATATAATATATATTTTTTAAGCGGGGACTGACCAAACTTTCATGTCCTGTTTGCTTAAAACATTGTGAAAAAAAACATCAAACGAACTTTCAATTTTAGACAATTCAATTTAAATGAAGCTAAAGCAAGTGCACGATTACACGGCGAAGGTAAAAATTTAAAATATTTAAAATAAAAGGAGAGAGAAAATTTTTTTTAAAGTTAAAAATTGAATAATATATATATAATTTTTTAAAAAATAGCTTTCATATAGTATAATAAATATTATTACACTCACTGACGAAAGCATTCAGTATTATTCTCCGTAAAATGTATTTGAAATTGAGGTTAAAAGAGCTGTGCATTCACTGTAACAAAAATCCTAAACCACATTTGGCGTTTATCGCTAAAAAAAAAAAAAAAAAAAAAAAAAAAAAAAAACTGAAATGTTTCAGATTTTAAATTACGTCCAAAGGGGCGTTTTTTAACATTTTGTGTGTTACCTTTCTTTATTAAATATCATGTTCCTCGCACTTAAACCATAAGATCCAGTGCAACAGCAATATCGCAAAATAGTTTTAAAACGAGCATATCTTTAGAATTTCCGATACAGAGACTCACGCGCTGGAGATAAAAATGTTTTTTCTGCACAACGTTGCCATTGCTCGCTTTGAAATCCTTGAGTTTGTTAATCAAAAATTCGTCAAAGTTTTAAAAATAGGAAATCGATCATAAAACAAATTTCAAATTTCAAATTTGGTCTTCCACATGCTCATATTCGTTGGAGGATTACGTTATTCAAAATTCGATGACTCTATGTACCGTTATTTTATGACAATGCGAGAAATATACATACATTTACGCAGATTTTCATTATTTAATTTCTTCAAATATAATGCAGGACTCTAACATTTTGTGGCAACAGTTTGAAAAGTGAACCGACATTTATGAGTCCGACGCAAAATGCCAAAACGAAACTAATAAGTCCTTCGGGATTCAAATCCCTTTGGACTAAAAAAAAAAAAAAAAAAAAAAAAAAAAAAAATTCCAAACGCGAATATGTAATTCGTGTATTGGGGGAAAGAACAAAAAACTATTTTTGCAGGTCTAGAATACACCTACTTAAGATGATGGTAAAAATTTTATATGTTTAATTCAAAATTTTTTCGAAAATTTATAAAAATATTTAAAATAGAAATTAAAAAATAAAACAAAAATGGCTTGAATTTTATTTGGAATGAACTAAGTTTCGAAATGTGAAAGGAAAAATAAAAAAGAGATATTAATAAATATATTTCAAATTCAATTAACATTGAGGAGCTAAAATTTTGAGAGCTAATTTTTAAAAAACTACTCGTACGATTTTTACAAAACTCGGCAGTCTGGCATAATAATAGAATCGATATATCCACAAAAATTGGTATGTTATTTCAGAAAAAGTCCGATTTTGTGTCAAAATACCTATGTTAGAATACTGCTATATATAAATCTAATATATATCCTAAGTCACGCTTTCGAGACATGAAAAATGCAATTTGAATTTTGTCAATCAGCCGAGTAGAACGGGAGATATAGAACTGTCCCCTCCCCTCCTTTTTTTTTTTTTTTTTTTCCCGCACTGTACAAAAATGCCACATGCTAGTCCAAAAATGGTTACGTAGATATACACAGTGCTAGGTGATTCTGGTTAGAACAAAAAGCGAACTAATTAATGAATGCCGTAATATTTCATCCTAAATCCTCATAGATTCAAAGCCTATCTGGCCACTGAAAGTGGGCTAAATTATTTATTCTCCAGTGTTCATCCAACTTAAATCTTACCTACGCAAGTAAAAGCGCAAAATATGATATGTTCCAGGGCTTAATTTCTAAAATCTGAAGTGCCAGACCCCTACGGCAGGTGGTTAGGAAGAAAGGGAAAATAAATAAATAAAAGAGAAAATAATCAGATGAATC